CATCCTAAAACTGAATTGCCCTGAGACCAACTATAAAAGCATGTACCTCAGGTACCTAAGCCACAAGGATAGTCTGACTTGTCCAGTTCATGCTTTAAATTAAATTCAACATCTACATTGCCTGCTGACCATGGAAAACCATGACAACATGCAATTTTTGAAAGGTAAACAAACATCTATCCAAGGATAGATTACTTACGTGCAATGTTTTAATGAAAAATATGCGCATTCTGTCCCTGCATTTATTTGTAGTCTTGCTGCTGGTGATAGTCTAAATATTACAAAACATTCAAAGATAGCACAGTGACGGAATGATCCAAAAGGACCTGTTTTGGACTATTACTGGTCATTGCAGACCACAATTCTGCTTGGTCTTTCTGAAAGTTTTTTGTATTAGAGCGTGCTTTTCCAGGCAAAGACACCCCAAGGTATATCTCAATAAAAGAGGTGCATGTCAAAATTCCATAGCAGAGTTTAGGTTAAGCATGGGATGAAACTTTTAAATATACCTTGCACATATATATACATATGTAATAGGTATACACAGACACAGACGCAGACACACACACACAGAAACATACAGTGATGTTGTTATAAATGAGTGGCTATTTCTTTAAAACACTCTGAAGGATTGACTTTCAAACCAGTTATTTTTAAAATCAAAGTGGTTTACTTTTTGCTACACTACTTACATTTGACTTAGACAGGAATACATTAATTGCATGTAATATGCTTGGAATGTGTGGAAAATAAAATTTTTTCCACATGAGTCAGCACAGGAAATGAACTGCAAATGAGTAAAATGTTGAGAAGAAGTCTAAAGATGGAGATTTTTTTTAAAATACACAATGTTTTTTCAAGAGTGGAGTGCTGACATCATGTTTTCTTCAAGAGTAAAGCACCACAGAGATGACTGATGACACACCAGAGACTAAAGAAGAGCAAGAAGCAGCTTCTGATCGGCATACTTTAAGCTTCTAATCTGATGCAACATGAACTTAGCAGTTTCTGTCTTTGCTGGTGCCAGACAGTTTTGTCTCCCCTTATCGGACATTGCCAAAGCTTTGACTGCATTCTTGCAAAAACACACAGAATTATAGCTAATGCCAAGTCAGAACACCTCTGAGCTTCATTTTCTTTTCACAGTGATATAAAGCAAAACAATTCAGCTTCTTCTAAATGAATGATTTTGTGGCAAATTCCACTAGATACTTTTATTGTCAAATTTTCCCTTGCACTGGTTAGATATTAAAAGAATAATAAAGAATAACAGAAATAACAGCAAGTCAACTGGTTTCTAAGATTTATATTGTAAGAGGATATTCTTGGGTGGACTATATGGAGCTGCCCTTGTATTTAGGAAAATATATAACAAATTTTGGAGCTGAATCCTCAGTCCCAAACTGATCAACCCTTGAGGCTCATGATTGCAGAAGAGAATATACTTCTTGAGCCCCTTGAATCTAAAATATTCTCCCTTATCTCATCAGGCAGAAAATTTCTGCTTCTACGGCAAATTGTCCTTTGGTTTAGTCCTTTTGTTTAGAGGTGGAACTTTTTGCCCCAGTCTAGTACAGTTAATAAGAACACTTGGAGTCATGTCTTTAATATGAGGCTTAAAATACACCATTAATTTTTTTTTCAAAGCAAACCAATATGTAGAGTTTCTTCTGAATATACTTCAATGCACTCTGAGACACATGAAAAACATTTGAAAGAGTAAGTTTGCATTTTACTGATCCTAGCAAACATCCTCCTCTGAACACAGAGACCAATTACACGTATTTGACCTTTATCTTATGACTGTGCTTCTGTTAAATGAACAAACAGGCGCACGTGCTGCATCCCAAAGGCAAAATTTGGCTCATAGTGCCTAATGATCAAGGAGAGATGATGCACATATTTTTTGTAGGAAGATAATGTTTCATGCTCCTTTGCTTTAATTTTGCTGTCAGTGAAAAGAGCAGCACAGGGAGCCTGCTGCCTGTGCTCCAAGTGCCCTGTTCGCTCTGAAGCTACAAAAACACTCTGACATACGAGCAAGACCAAAGCTCAAACTGCATGTTTGTATTATGCACTGTTCATCATGCTGCACTGCACCAAGCAGAGCTGCTTGGTTCATAGATCAAAGAGCCATTTAAGGTAAACCTAGAATCCTCCCTGGTGGCAAAACTGAAGCCATCTAAAGTCAAGCTGGGATTTTCCTGGACTCTTTTCCCCAGTCTTCAAAACATGTAACCAGCCTTCACCTTAACTCTCATCAATAAAGAATTTAAAGTCGTAGACTCATTACTCTTAAATGTCGCTGTCAGTGAAACATACAAATGGAGGGAGCAAACGGTGCTCCGTGTTGCAGGGATAAATTCAGAATCACTGGATAGAAGTGAATGTTCTCAGTCTGCCTTTGGGAGCAGGACTGACACAATTTCCTGAAAAGCTGCCTGTTTTGCTTCAACATCCCCATGACCAGCAGTTGCACTACTTAACACGGATTAATTGAGCTGCAAACAGTAACATCCACATCTCCCATGCTGTTTAAAATACAATGTAGTGAAACCAGGCATGACTGTGGTAAGGATCAAAGAGAGAGGATTATTGGAATAGGGCAGACTTGTCTATGAGAATCAGGGCCTCTAGACTCAAAGGCATTTTAAGGTAAAACTCTTAACATCTTTTCTGTGATATCTCCAAGAGAAGCTGTGCCAGAGGAGGTGAGAGCAATTCACCTGACTAAGCCTGCTGCCTGACAAAATAGGTTGCATTATCTTCTACTCAGCAAACATGAAAGGCTTCTCTAACAAAAGGGCTAAAATGCAGAACAGAAAAGGGAAATCCTCAGAGGAGAAAAGAGGAGAAAGTCCAGAAGGCAGGTGGTGTTGCAGCTGATGTTTTGAAGCTTACAGCTATGCTTCAGGACTTTGGTATCCCAGGCAGGGCATAGAGAGCCTAGCAAAGGCAGCAGTGCACGTGTGTTTATGAAGTGGTGTTGCTCTGTGCAAAGTTTGCTGCCAGTACTAATCTGTCTTGAGCAGCAGTGTTTTGGAACAGTATTGCTGAGTCGTGCGGATTTGTGTTCATACTAATCTCCATACAACTGCAAAGAAAAGCTGCCCAGAAATATGAAGCATTTATATTTGCAGTATATATGTGAAACTAAGCTTTGATAGTACATCCATCCACACGAGAGAAGGAGACAGTTCTGGACCTGCTTCCATACAAGAAGTTATTTCAACTAACCACCTGTCTTCCAGACTTCCTCTCGATCTCTGGGCTACAAGCTTCCCTGATATTAATGCTTTATTCCTTCCACCTTTGACTTTTTCTACCCCTTCAAGCAGAAGGAATCTTAAAAGACTGGAGAAAAATCTGGAGTCAAAACTTACCTATTTCCCTGAATTCAGTAGAACAGCAATGCTGTGAGGAAGAAATCAGGCCTCATGTTTTTAATACTTCAATTCATGGATGCATTTCTGATGTCTTACATCCGATACAACATTCTGCAGATGGCTACCTTTTTCAAACAATACGATTTCCATTACGGGGGGTGTGGGGGGGAGCACTGAATCATCCCATGCGGAAAAGGGTACCATTCTTTGAGAAAGGCTAAGCAATCACGTCAATGTCTTTCAGGAACTTACCATACTGTTATCTGAAAGGCAGTAACTTCCATGCCAAGGGACAATAGCTTCTTACAATAAGCTAACAAAATTACAGGCAATAGTTTGTACTCAAAGACTTGTATTCCTACTTCTACATGAAGCTGCACTAATGTTTCACTCCACTGACTGCCTAAAAGCATGGAAATTCTATCACTTGCACACTTTTACATTGGTATAGTGAATTTATTCTGTGATTTACTCTTATTCCTTAACTACTTTGCTGTGACAACTGGATGATAAGCAGCAAGAAGATCAAATCATGTGCGTAACAAGCCAGTTGCAATGATGTGAATTTTTAGGATCAGACTTCTGAATAACAACTCCTGCATGGCCACTTCTGTCAGAGGCTGTATATTCTACATCTCCAGCCATCTACTGCCACTTCTTTCTTGACCTCTTACTGTACAGCCCCACAGATAGCCTGGTGGACTTTTGTAGGTCTTCCACACTGTGGTGAAAATTACCTTGCAAGCAGGGCAAGTAGTATGACAACAGGAGACTCTCATTCCACACTGCTCACTACAGAGACTGGAATGTTAATAAGTTATTAGCTCTGTCATCTATGTCTGTCTGTCTGTCAGTCCATGCACAGCAGTAACTTACATATCCATGGACAGTTTCAGAGAGAAGAGAAGATCTTTCAAAGATATAAAGCTTGTATGAGGTTTTGTGAGTGACAGGGACCTGGTAGAAGACAGAGACCTAAATCACCCATCCTAAGAAAGTCTGCAGTGTGAACTCAGCCATTATATGTCCTGTTGACCTGGCCTGCCAAAATATGCATCTCAGACAGCCCCCAAGCACATGCATATTTTGAAGCCCACCAGGCAGCAGATGGTTCTCCTTGCCCACTTGTTACTCAGAGGGCACATGAGGAAGCTGAGGGAGGAGGGCATAGTGCCCGTAATGAACAGGAGCTGAAGGCATGAGAGGGTCAGGAGGGCAGTCATGACGAACATGAGAGTTAGAATTACTGCAGTGGGAAAGGATAAGGACATCAGACCCAAATTCACAAGAATGATTTCTGCTATTTCTAGCCTAACACGCAACAACGCTCAGAGTCACTTGAATGAGAGCAGAATTTGACTTTAGCTGAAGTCCTCACTTGTGTTTTATGATACATCTACAAGGGAAGGAATCTATGAGCAAATGTGGAACTTACTTATACTGTCTGCAACATGAGAAAGCGGTATCAAGAAGGTAGGCAGATGTGACACAAGTTCAGACTCCTTTTACACTAGGACTCTCAAGAACACATCTGAGATCATGTAAGCTATGGCAAGGGCATTCTTCGTGTTCAAACACGGACACACATAGAGAGCTGAAAAAATCATCTCTTACCAACAATCATGTGGTTGCAGACATCACAGAAGGTGGGTTTTTTGAAGATGTGCTCCTGGAAGATGTGAGCCTTGTTGTTTTCCGGCAGCTGTTGGGCTTTCGTAGGGGAGGACGCCTGGCTCTCGGAGCTGGGGAGCTGGCCAGTGCTCGTGCTCACCTCTGGCATCAAGTCCACTTGCAGTTTCACATCGCTATTAGTCCTCTGGAAGAAATTGTCTGCGCTTTTGCTCCGCAAGCTTTTGGTCTTGAAGGAGAGGGATCGTTTCAATTTCTGCAGCTGCAACAAACGAACCAGTTACAATTATTTCCTTTCCTTCTTAAACAGCAAGGCAAGGTTCCCATTTTTGGGGTGCGCTGCTGATGCATGAACCCAGATGACGTTATCAGCACACTGGGAGAAGAGTGCCCACTGGCAGAGCTGACACCCACTGAACAATAACATTGATTTTAGAGTTTAACTGGCAATTTCAGAGCAAAGAGAATAGGACACTATTAGAAAATAAACTAATTTACCTGGATTTTCTAACAGAAAATAAATCAGCCCTAATGAACACTTCTCTTGCTCTTTTCTTTCAGGTATGATAGCGAAAGGATACTGCAGGGTTTACACACAGACACAGCAGAGAGTTGTGCACGCTGCAGAGAGTTGTGCACAAAGTTGTATGCATAGCAGAATGTATCCCTTGTATTCAAGCATGAGAGAAATCTAAGTATTATCCACCCTTGCTGGTCCTTAAGCAGCCTATAAAGCCATTTCAAAAACAGCTGTTAAACAGCATTTCAAGCAGCACTAATACATCAGCTAGATTTGATATAGTGAACTGTCCTGAACTTGGCAGAAATGAAGACCATGCGGAGCTTTGACTGAGAAATTCTTGGGTTTTTTTTAAAGGAAAAGAGGCTCCAGAACAGTAGCTTTTGTATAATTAGTTAACTAGTAGTTAACACAGTAACTAATAACTAGTTAACACGCACATTCACGTATATTCTTGCATATTGTGTTGTCAGAATATTTAGCACAATATTGCGTCATTAACTCAAATTTCTACTACATCTCTTTACCTGTAAACTGTGTCTTGTACCTTATTAGAGCTCCTCTCCTCCTTCCTCCTGAATATTTTTTATAAGGCTGAGTGGGGTGCTAGGTAAGGCATAGAAGCTATCAGGATGTTGACTACACAAATTTGCAGGCTACCGACGCTGAAGGCTCGGGAGTGCAGTCAGGGTGAAAGGAAAGCATTCTGGGAAAGCCAGTTTTGCCTCTACTTCACGTTTGCTCTCTCTGAAGTATAGTATCTCTGTCTCCCCTTTCACGCAGTATTATTTCAACCATCACAAAATGATTTCAACCCCTGCTGTAATTCTCTGGGCAAACGTGATGCAACAACTGAAATTTTCCATGCCATGCAGTCTGTCAGTCGCAACCAGCAGGGATGGTTTATATTACAAACTATTTACGTTAGAAACAATGATGATTGGGAATCATAATTCACACTCATATAAAAGGAAGGGGTTCACATACTTTCCTAAAAAAGTATGGCACGGGCCTGAAACGCTGACACAGTGGCCTCAGAGCACTGCTCTCCCTCCTTTCTATTTCTGATCGGTCCGTTTTCTTTACGATGAAGCCTAACGTGCTCTATGAGACAGGGGCATCGTGCCCTCCTGGGAGGGAGCCTCTTCCCCCTTCCAATGCCTGCGGCTCACCGAGCGGGAAGGAAAACCTCTTTGCCTGCGTTTTATACCAGCAAACTCCCTGAGGTCGATAACCAGGCAGAGGACTGCCCTTGCCCGGGCTTAACGATATTTATACGTTATGCTATACTGTGGATTTCCCGGCTCTCTGCTGCTGAAATCTCCCGTTCCCTGTGCTGGTCCTCGGCGGTGACCTGGGGAGTAAGGACAGGTGCAAGTGAGGAGTCTCACCCACACGTGCTATCCCGGCTTGTGGGAAGAGCTGGCAAATCAAATAGAGGAAATGCTCACCTGCTTGCCCAAAATGTCAGTCTTGGGGTGGATGTGTAAATAACAGAAATTACATAGTTATATGCCAAGTGTGAGGCAAGAGCAGCTTCTGAGGATCTTTCAGCCGAAGCCTAACTCTTGGACTCACTAATACTCACCATATGACAAAAAAATGTGGGACTCTCCCTCTCCCACTTGGATGTTAGGTCACTGGCACCCAAAATTACTGAGTGTACTCAGAACTGAGATTACTTCATTTCCCCAGTGACAGCCAGGAGCTCAGCAACAATTTGCCCCTTGCTCCTGCATTGGTTCTCATAGAAGTCAGGCCTAATTAGTGTAGTGAAACACAGAGAATTACAGCAGCACAAGGTGACGGAAATGACATTCATTATTGATTTGCCATCCATTTCTACAGTGCCACATGAAGTTAATTAAATTTAAAAACACTGCTTCTGCCAGAGGAGGAAGACTAAGCAGTACAATACAGTATTCATTTTACCATGAAACAACTGTCTTTCTAGGTTGGCAATGCATACAGAGTGTTTTAGGGAGCTCTGCATTTAATATTCTTAACCCATTCTCCTTTGCAGTGAAGGGATGTACCCATTCTCCTTTTCTCCCCTATGCAGAAAAGTCTGCAGTTTTCCAAAAAGGAGCAGTACGGCATCCGGGCTGTGCATGCCCAAATGTATGCACACGCACTAAGGTGAACATACAATTTGTGTATATAATCTATGTATTGGCACCATCGATGTGGACAGCAGGATACAGATATACAAGAACACGTCCATGGACTCGGCAGGCACCTCTGCACAAGCTAGAAATCTCCTCCGGGACTCCTGGGCACTGCTAATGTGGCTAAACCATCCCCAGACTAGGTGAGCACCCTTGTTGTTACACACAGGTAGACGTCGTACTTGTTGGAATTCAGGCTGGAAGACACCTGCACAATTGGTTTGCATTGTGTACTTAATGCACCAGCAGAAGTGTGTGGTCATTGTATCCCAAGTGGGTTATACATGTACAGAAGTGAGTATGCAAAAAGTGCAAGCTATAGGCAATGCTTAATATTTTGCTCAGCTAATTACAAACTTCTGTTCAGTACTTGCAAAAAGCCTGTAAAAAAGTATCTCAGCATCTCTCAGATCTGAGTGTTTTATACTCTTACCTTGCATAAATGCATATGAGAGGACAGAGCAATAGAAATTTGGCATCATATTTTAAAATTTGATCCAACTTTTCTTCCTCATATTAGGCGGGCAGGAAAAACTGGCCCAGAAGAGAATTTGAAATACGGTACCAGTATGGGATTGTTTATGCAGGAAAAGATGGCCCAAACAAGGGCAAGGACAGCTTATTGTACAAATAATTTAACTGTAAAAACACAGAAGCTTAAGCTATCATTATGCTGCAGTCAAGTCAGCATGATTTCTCTTCCTTAAAATATCATGATTTCTTTATTGTGAAGCTTGCTATGGCTTGGCCCCATTCTTTTATTGGAAAATTGTAAACATGTAGTTAGACACCGGCCTATAACATTTGCCTGATTTTGATTTTCCTTAAACTAATTTAATGCTTTTGTGATGCCTTTGGCTCCAAATGGAGCTGCTGTAGGATTCACCTGAGACGGAAATCAGCTCCCTCTGTCTCTAAAGAGGCAAGCAGGCAAATTTTAGAATTCTTAATTTCTTTTTATAAAGTTAATAAGTTCACAGTTAATCACAGTTAATCCAGAAATACTACCAAACTACAGAAAAAGATGAGGCTAGGGTTGTTCTTCGTTTGGGGGTGCTTCATCACTTCAGTTCTGAAGGACTCCATGCACTACAAAATCGTGTATTGGGTCTGAACCCCCCCCCAGAAAACAAGGCTTTAAGCCACACACTTGAGATACTTTTCCTAGGCCTTTCACATTTTATTCTCTGCAAGGAAAGCTGCAAATTAGCTTTAGTTTAAATAATAAAAAATAAAGTGAGATTCCACAAAAACAAGAGTTTTTCTAGACTTATGATAAAAAACACAAGACTTCACAACACTTGACTTCAAATCCAGGATGTTCTTATGGTTTGAAATTAGAGCTGGGGAAAAAGTTTGCCCATCCCTAGTTAAAAGCATTTTATCAGTCACACGGACTCTCAGCGACTGCACATACTTGCCCTGCAGGCAGGGTAGAGATAAGTGCAATAGCTAAACCTCAGAGCTTGATTAACCTTTTTTTTTTCAGTATCATCTAGCACAATCTCCTTCTTCCTCACAGAGTTATTGAATGTTCATGCTTCAAGGGATCAGGAAGCTCTGAGGAACCACAGCTTATCGGTGCCTCCTTTGTTCCTAATTCCCTTACACTGCAACTCTTTAGCTGCTGTAATCAGAACACAGGAGGCAGTAGGACAGCTAGTGAAATTCATTCCTACTGTTTGCAGCTACTGCTGCTTTTGATTTGAATGGGAATTGCACCTACCTTCACTATGGCTTTGTTTTACTTAAAAACTGGAAGCATATGACCTTCTTCTACATTTTGGTTTAAGCAACACACGGAAGCTGGGAAGATGTCAGTGATTTGAGCTATTTTCTAATTCCTGGTTTTGCAATTACAAAATTAAGGAAAGGAAAGGAAAGGAAAGGAAAGGAAAGGAAAGGAAAGGAAAGGAAAGGAAAGGAAAAAGAAAAACTAAAAATAAAGAAAAGAAAAAAGAAAAAAGCAAAATAAAGAAAAGAAAAGAAAAAAGAAAAAGAAGAGAAGAGAAGAGAAAAGAAAAGAGAAAATGAGGGAAGGGAAAGGAAAGGAAAGGAAAGGAAAGGAAAGGAAAGGAAAAAATCTAATTTCCAGTTGTCCCCACTTCAAGGAAAAGTTCATTCAGACTCTTAACTGCTCCCCTGGTTTCTAGGACCTCTAGCTCCCTGGCCTTTCTGTCTCTATCTATGATAGCAGATAGCATAGCTCAGTAGAAGTGGATCTGGAGAACGACACAGCTGGTGATGAGGACCTAACATACATGTCGTATGCATTTCAAGGCATAGAGTACCTTGAGCTTGCAGTGGACCAAATGCCCATTATCCCTGTAACGCACGAGGTGCCCAGCTAGAGCACAGCCAAGCCCCCGAGTAGTGCAGCCTGTGCTCTCTGAGGCTGCTCCACAGCAAGCACCAAGGTGCAGTGAGCAGGTTGACTGGGAGATCCACCTCAAAGCCACGCTCCAGAATCAAACTAAAATGCCAATGTAGGCACCTCCACTACTATCACAATTTCTCTAGTGTAACTTCTCCATCACATCTTCTCACCATTCAAAGCTCAGGGCAAAGCCTCAC